TTCGATCACCTTGAGTCTCGCGCGTTTTGGGAAAGAGAAACTAATCGACGGCGGTTTTTCAAAAGGAAAAAGAAAAGAAAAGAGAGAAAATATCGTTTACTAATTCCTCTCAAACGACACGCCGTTTGCGTGGACTTCGCCTGCTATAGCTTTCCGTTAATTATTTGTTAATTTGAAAAGGGTATAGTTTTTCTGCAATGTTTTGTTAATTTGATAAGAGTATAATTTTCCCCCAATTTTTTGTTAATTTGCAATACTCGTGTCGACATAAGTTTAACAAGAGAACATTATATTTCAAGATTAACACCAACTTCCTACATTAACTTTCTTCTTTTCTCATAAATTCTTACACAAAGATAATACGGGAGTTGCAGATTTGGGATGCATTCAAAATCCCATATGTCAAAAGAAAGCAAAAACTGAATAGTTTGTGGAAGCGTACATATGAATAGGAATAGCACAATTAGTATAAATGAAATAATAAACAGCATTACGTTCTACCGCCATCATATACAAGCTCATAAATCCATTTTGACAAAAATAATGATGCCACAATGTCTGTTTTAACCTTATAAATATAAAATACACCCCTATTATATATGTATATAACTGTAGAACCAATTTGACCACCAGTCCAGGAGTTAGATCGCTACAGAGAAGCACCTATTTTCCATTTTTGAACAGGACAAATCACATCCGGATGAATCCATAAGCTCGATTATTACTTGTCTGAATTCTGAAGTGGCCGAAATCCGTGAGGGAACTTATTAGGTACACTGGGAGAAGAGATTCAGGAACATCAAATTGTTACCTTCTCCATGCATCTACTTTTACCGGCAGCCAATGAACAATTCCCGTTCAGCATAGAGAAAAAAAATTTGTTGGATAGAACACATTCGACACGATCTACCGCTCATTGGCCGGATGTACATGGATTCACTTTACACTAATCACAACTTCAGGTTTTCAGGCACCCCTTATCTTCCGTCCCCATTTTCTTCCTGCCCAGATACAGCATTCAGCTGTTGCTGCAACTGTCACCAGATAACCAACTCATTAATGAAAAACTATATGCAATCAAATAACCAGCAATAATGGCATGCATGGGAACCCATCACTACCAACTGGTCCAACTCAAACTAACTTGAACTATCCCATTTTCTCAAACCCTCATACTCATACTAGACTCGACTACAACATTATGCATTCTCTCTTCCTTCAACCATATAATGCACGAAAACTGTAATTATGAACCCTTGAGCAACTCACTTGAATGTGTCTCGTCTTTTCAGCAGTCAGTTCATCACTCAAGTTGTTCATCCTAGAGAGAGAGAGAGAGAGAGAGAGAG